AAGAAATAGATGAAAGGATAACATTAAGACTGATCTTAGGGATACAAGTTGTAAGTATGAAAAACTGATTGCGAATTGACTCAGTTGTGATATTAATTGTGCTGAACCTTCGGGTTCTGTTAATAGAAGATTACCTAAGTTATTGCTGAGAAAGATATTTTAATCTACGGAAGGTGTAGTAACACAAGACGGAATAGAATTAAATACTGAAGAGCTTAATAAGAGAAACTCTAATTCCTACGCTTTCGTTAATGCAAATTCCGTAACGACGAGATGGGGCATGCGAAATGAAACAAAAATTAAGAAATACACCATTCTAGGGTGAAAACTTTAAGGGAAGATACAATTTGGAAAACCTAGGCGTGATGGAAGTATATTTTTAAAATGAATCTTAAAATACATAAGATGGGGCGGTTTTGTCTGGTTTCAGTTGGCGCAGAATCGACCTCAATCGATAGTAGAATTCTTGAGCAAGGCGAATCTCAAAAGCAGGGACAACTTTCACCAACAGAGTATCAACGTAGTAAAAAATGATAAATGTAAAATTTGTGGCAATGTTAAGATGACTTAAAGTACTTTTTAGAGAATTCAGTTAAGAAGCACCTTCGTAAGTTTTCAATATGTATACCATGTATTTGTAAAATCGATTATTATGCTGTCCCCCCACATTCTATGTTATCATTTATTTCTTTACAGGACTTAAAATTGTGAGGTCTGCTCAGTGTCATTTCTTGTTCTTCCATTCATATCCTGTAGTTTCGCTCATGTCTATTTAAGACTTCAAATGGAAATGCAAAGAGGAGGGTGGCATAAGTCTGATTTGCTTCTGTAACATTTCGTCCATTCAAATATGATTTTAATATAAATAAACTGCAATCCATTTAAAAATTTCTGTGCCATCTCTTACATTGTACTTGTTTTTGTTGCTATTATTAATACCAGGAGTAGTATCGTCACTAACAAATCCGCCGACATATCAAATTTTCAAAACTCTCAAACGGACTTAAAATAAATCTGACATTGAAGAATTTGCATTAAAAGTATTAAGCAACACCAATAACTTGTAAACGGTGTCGACCGAATATAAACCCTCAAGATAACTGTAATCTGGGTTGTAGAGTCGTGTAGTCTGGTAGAAGATTACCAAGGTTTCAGAGGTCCCTGCTGCCTCCAGCATCAAAACTCATCGCCCAGATAATGGACGACCCAGAGTCCTGATGACGGAGGCATCAAGGACCTCTGAAACGCTAGTCCACGTCTACCAGACTACACAGCCCTAAAAACGAGAAGAGAGCCATATTCGGACTTTCTGCCGCGAAAACCTCAAGTCCTATAAATACAAACCCTGTTTTGCAGGAAGTTCAGAAGAAAGTTAGGAAATGAACTCGTAGCTCAAAATTTTTTGTTTGTTCGCTCGTTTCTAGATTCAAATTGGTGAATTTCGTTTCCGAAACGCGTTGGTAATTATGCGATGTTCTTTTCCCCTCAAAATCGCTTATAAGTGGCGGAATTAGTTATAGGACGCTTTCTGTCCTGTCAAAGCATGACCTGTAACCTTTGCGAATGATGCCACTTATGTCAAGAGTTTTAGGGTCAATGACCTCTACATGGGGCCGTTGTGTGGAACGTTTACCTGGATGATGATGATTACATGGGTTATTCTCAACGTCATCGAATGGGCTGAGTGTCTGGCAGAGGACTTTTCAAGGTCACCTTAACGCGAAGAAACGTACACAAAATGCTCTTTGCTGTTTTAATCAAAACTGAAACGGTCGACAAATTTGACTGTAATTTTCAAAAATCTCCGTCGAGCTGTTATTGACTTGTTACATGTGTAAAAATGGACAGAGATAAAATAGTTCACTGTAGTAATAATGTGTCAATTATGCAGGTAATCTGCATTTTATTTGTACCGATATAATGAGGTTAAGCAAATATTTCTCAAACGCTTTAATGAATTATTGACAAAATACTAAACACGCAGAGACCTGTCTACATAACACTTATCACAATTTCGCATGAAAACTATGTGCACAAAGTTAGTTCCAATAATAAATACGCATTGGCAACATAAGTATTGAGTTAATAAACTGTTTGTCGACAAATAGCTTATGTAAAATATATGCTGTCGACCCACATATCCTTTTCATTAGCACATACATAAACAGAATTAGATGAAAAGTAATCATTGAATGACACAATTATTAATTTACATGTTTAAGTAGGGGTCTGAATTTAGCATATAAATTAATCCCCTGTAGTATCAAAATACGGTGAGATGATAAATATGAATATTAACCTGCTTGTTAATACCACATTCATAATTATAAATTATGTAAATATTAATATACTAGTATGTACAATGCGATAAAATATAGCTTTATTTACATTTTATTTTTCCACAATAAGCGACCAAATCAAGCCAAAAATGTACAGTGAATTATGATACGAAAATGCTTCCTAACTACGTTACAGCCTCATCTTTTGGGGCCTCGAGAAGTGACACGAGATAAAATGCGAGAAAAGATACTTTCTCGTCTTTATAAGAACTTCACAGCCCAGACTTCATTCTGATTACACGGTACATGTACTTCTACATGACGCAGAAAAACATAGTTTTACGTTTAAACACTTCGCAGTTTATATAACTGAGCCAAGATAAAAAATTATGTTAATTTTCATGTGATGATTTATTACACTTAAATAAAAAATGTTTTAAATTCTACTTTAGATTTTGGCGTTAATTTTAACGGAAAAATTTCTAGTATCCTGAAACTCCTCCGTACATATTAATATATTTTCTCATTTTAATTACATATTACGTTGATGATTAAACTATTATTATTATTATTATTATTATATGAAACGGCGATATACGAAGAATGACTCTAAAGTCAGAATGAAGACAATTTTGAAAGAGAAAGAACCGAGCAACTTCTCTTATAAAGTAAAGTCATTTCTCTTCAAGCTATAAATAAGCAAGTAAATAATACAATTACATTACTTTTAAAACAACCTTATTAAAATTTTGGATGGAATAAGATATCAGATACTCAGAAGGAAAATTAGTTACAGAGTTAAGAAAGAAAATGTAATTCCTGAGTTAAATAAAAACGTTACCATTAAAACGAAAAGATGTATAAAGGAAAGTTGAAATTATATAAACAGATTGAGAACTAAAGATTGGATAAAGAAGTATAACTTAAAGAGAATTTATATAGAGTTGCTGATGATAATAGACTTTGTTATAAAATGTAGTAATGACGTAAAAGGAACGTTTAAAGCAAAGTAAAACGTAAGACAAAGCTATTCCGCTACACGCTGTGTAGCAACTTGGGGGGAGAGGCGGTATAGCTCCTACTCATTCTTGACCTCGGCACTAGATGGAGGTGAGTGGTCAGCGTCGTACCCCGGCCGCGCTTTGCCCCCAGGAAATTACCCCGTCGGGGATCTGTCGTCCAGTCCGTACGCATACTACGGACCACAAACCTGTCGCAATTTTTATTTTTATCTGTATTGATTATTCTCTGTATAGCAATAATTTCTCTCCAAATACTGGGTATAAGAGATTAAAAATGAATAAAGGGCCGTATAGTCTATGTCAGTGGTATTCAATCTTTTTTATTCGCGTACCCCCAGATATAATTTCTCTTCAATTTTGTACTCCTAAGGTTGTTGGTGTATAATTCAAGTTATACATAGGATATAATCTACATTTGAAATAAATTAATAAATTACATTACTGATTATTCAGTGTTTATCATAAAATAATATATATATTTTTTTTAAATTTCACGTACCCCCTAGGATGTCTTCTCGTACCCCAGGTTGAATACCACTGGTCTACAGTATCTGAATATCGTCTCTGGTCGGACCGAAATTTTTCGGACCACAGTTTGACACTCGTTACATAAAATAATGCTCGGCCCATCTTAAGATTCATGGGCCGGGTGGGGGAAAGCGGTGGAAGAATATTCACAGATTGATTGTCGGTAAGTTAGGACACACCATGGGGCCAGAGGAATGGTGATTGTAATTGATGAGATTGAACGATGTAGGCGGAGGAGGAATTTGCTTTGGAAAGCTAAGAGACACCACGGGGAACCGCAGTCAGACAAGCCGGCCCCGTGCCGCGATTCGAGACCGGATCTTCCAAACAGAAATTAAGAATGCTAACCACTTAACAGCGACGTTGGGTGACGTAGTAAGCAGTTATTAGCATAGACTGACATATTTAGATCAAGAGGTGACATTTGAAATCTCTCATTGCTTGGTTTTGTGAGGGAGAAGGGTGGTTTTTACGGGTTGTTGAGTAATTTAATGACGAAACTACCATACAAAGCACCGCAGTAACTCGTCCCCTCGAATACGATGCTTCATGTATGTTTCATGGCTGAATCAGCATTAACGAAGTGTGAAAGGATGTCATTCATTTAACTTTGAGGATAAATACAGTATACAATAAATTGTGTAAATAAGCACGAATTAAAATTTGAGATGCCATTTTAAATGTTTGTTACATCGGTGTTTTGGCACTGAATTCGATCCACAATATCGTTGAGATCGATGTTAATGTTATCATCTTAGCTACGTGTACATCTCCCGGGCCGTCTCATTCTTTCTTTTAGGTTTTCCGACTGAACTTTGTATCGGTGCTATATCAGGTTCTCACGGTGACGAGTTCGAAGATGACTATATTCTGGGATGTTCCTCCTTGTAGTATGGTAGAAGATTACCGACGTTTCAGAGGGACTTCCTACTTCCATTATCACAAAGATGAGTAAGCCTTATTTGAATTCTCCCATTCATTAAAAATATTCTGTTGATCTAATTTCATCATCTTAATAATATCTTGTACTCACACACACAGTATAATCTATACCGGACCTTACGTCTTATTTCATTTTAATAGTTACATTAGGCCTACTGACGCATTCAGACTTAATCGCATTAAAGTAATACTCTCTCTCCGAAATTATAACAAATATTTTGTCATTTACCTGTGACCTTGAGGAACACTTTCTTGACCAGTGGGGGGTGTGTCGCCACTTGACATTCGTAGTGACCCTCGTCACGCCGGGTCACGTACTGTATCTCCAGGCGCCAGTTGTTATGGTAACGGAAACTGAGCGTTATTCTTTGGTCCGTGCTGTATGCATGACGACCCACCGTTAGTAAGTGTATGGAGTCATGCTTTCGATGCATCCATGTCACCTGCAATCACAGAGAGCTATTAAGAGCAACTTTTTTTTAGAAGAAAGACAGATTGCAGGTTTTTGTGAGCAGGGTAATGAACCTCTGGGTTTTATAAAGACGAGGAGATAACGCGCTTAATGATAATTAACTTCATGAAGCAGAGACGATTTTAAAGATTTGATAGCTAGTGATGTTGTCAAAAAGAAATCAGAATTATGATTAGCAAACAGGCCAACATTTTAAGAGTTTCGATTTCTATAGTTAAGAAGGAACAGACATCAAAATCTACGATAAAGACACAAAATTAAGGCGCAGGTCGTACTAGGTGGAGGTAGGTAGTAAGATCCGAGCAGACTACTGCTGATAGGCCACCACTGAAATAATTAGCTCTTTATTAATTTTTTACTCATTGGTTAAATAAATCAAATTGCAACATACAGAGAAAAATGTGGATTCACATTAAATTTATGTCGAAAACACATTTAGTACATTTGTAATTGCGTTAATAATTTTTCTGTCAATTTCCTCGAAAATTGAGGATTCGGTGAATTTTAGGAAGTAAATTATTGTGTACATTATTACGTTATAATTTACAAGCGAATAATACTGCAGTTAATAACAGTATGGGCAAGACATGTTCAGCTTACAAAAAAACAGATGCCACAGATTCCAATTTGTTCTTCTAAATATACAAAACGAGATTTAAGTTCTTCACAGGCTGGATGTTCAGACTAAAATCTTCTGAACTGTGACAATATACATCGTGGTTCCACGGGTGGTTGCCAAGTTTCGGAAGAATCTGTCGATTCCATTCTAGTTCAGAACATTCACTAACGCATTATGTGGCACATTGTATGTCTAGAGATCACAGTTGTAGTTGTTTGTAATCTGCCTAACCTCATTTCGTAGTTGTGGTTAACCAGGAGAAATTGTTAAGGAGGTTGCCTGTACCTCCCATGAAGCTGTGGCTGTAAGCTGAATCCATCAGCTGTAGGCATTTAATGTTAATGTACTGGTTTGTTTCACAAGTGAAAATACTGCCTGGTTTAAATGAATTAAAATTGTTTAAACTTTTTATTTTAATACCTTGAAATTGGAAATGAAAACGGGAGAGTAAGTAAAGTTTAACCAGGGTATTTATACACACGATACTTTATCTAGTTTATACTTCTACTGATCGGGATACATCAAAGCTCCCCTCTCCAACAAGCTTTCCACCATTATCCCTGCTCACCATCAGCTTAGTTTAATGGAATGGAAGCAGATCTGTTCCACTACAGGATATCGTATTACGTAATATCCGATTCATGTGGAATCTCAACCATACATGTAAGATATGTAGTGGGTAATGATAATAGAGAAAAACAATATGTTAAATGATACAAATAGAAAAACAAACTTCAAATATCAGGAGCTTATGGAAAGAAATTCTGTATCCAATTTTGCAAATTTCAATGTCATAATTTTCTTAAGCTTATATCAGACGTAAGTGTTTGCAGACCTTCAAACGAATCACGGTAGACTACGTTTGAAACATAAAGTGCTAAAATGAACCTATAAGAATCGTTTCGTTAAATTCGGAAGATATCTAACATTTTTTAATGGTATTTGGTACGTGGGATTTTAAACTAAATTTATCAGGGGTATTTAATTTTGATCTTTACCGGTCCGATATTTTCATTGGGTTCCTTCATATAAAGCTTAAGTAAAATTATATATATATGTATATATATAAATCTTTTCCAATGTCCTACCGTACAGAACGTTTAGTGGGCTAAATGTAAAAAAATAATAGTCTTAGTCAAAATCTAATAAGAAAATTTTATTTGCTAACTTTTTGAGATGGCTTGTATTTAACGAATTGAATCTAAAATCTATGACAGATCTGTATGCAATAAACGACTAGGTTAACGATATAATCTAGAATTACATCTAGAATCCAGATAATGTGGATATCTTGGTGCGGTAGCCAATGAGATTGTGTGTTTCGACAGTGTTTTCTTTCTTGGGTTAATAACGCTAACTCTACTGCATAGTTTATAATGCGTTGAATGGAGCAAATTCGTCCAAATGGGTGTTCGTATATAAAGAGTGGGGACTTACTCTTGTCATAGTTAGATGGTACTGGTCCTTGCTTTGCCATCTCAAATAAAAACAAGAGATGTGGAAGAAAACAACACTTCTGGCGTTCTTCAGTGTTCAATCATAGTGTATTGCTGTTGGCAGATTATGTTGGTAATTATGTCTGTAGATCCTGTGTTTTCCATTTACATCTGCCAACAGCAATACACTATGATTGAACCCTGAAGAACGCCAGAACAGACATAATTACCAACATAATGTTTTGCTTGACACGTTCTATTACCGAAAAGTGGAATTCTCGTCTGCAGAAATAACGACAGAAGTCCACTGAGTAACAACTTTCGTACCTGGATGGAGCTAACTTAATTCAGAAAGCATCTGCTTCATAATGATCACAATATCAGTCTTTCAACACGCCGTTATCTGCACTATAGCAAGGTAGATTGATACAAAAGTAACTTAAGCGTGACGTCAGGTTGCCATAGAAACGCGAGAATCGAATACATGCAAGCTGGACTATTGAAGTGGTAGCGAGGTTGCTATTTGTCTTTGCTGGGACATGGATCGCTAATAGTATTCTTTCAACACGAATAAGGTACTTTAGTCCACCCTCCTCGTTACAAGTTCTATACACAAATTTAACTAAATGAATGCATAATGGAGAGATCACGTCTGCTCATACACATGTTTCATTCCGTAATTTTAATGAAATTTAGTAATAGGAGTCTTCACTTATTATAATGTGAATTCGATATTTATTCTGAAAAGTTTGATGCAGAATCTACTTTAGTTACAAGAAGTTTAGATTAATTTATTCATATACGCTATCAGTAGCTCAGACCACAAAGCGTCGATCAAAGAATGATTAATGAATAACGGATTGGAAGGATTTTGGGACGAAGAGGTCGTCGTCTAATTGAAGACCCTATGATGGCATTTTCCTAGAAGGCCTGAGAAAATTAACGAAAATCTCCATTCAGGATAGTCGGCCTCCTGACCAAGTTTCGAATACGAAACAGGAGAGCTAACAACTCTTTCAAATATCGATAAGTCGAAGTTTCCAAACGATTATGTATTGTGTGTATATCTCAAGTTTCAATACAGGTTAACATAATTGTTAGACTAATTAAGTAAACGAACACGAGGAAGATAATGATTAACAGACGTCGATGTGCGTCACAGGCGAATTTTATAAAACTTAATTTAAATGATGTATATGATTAACTTCTACTGTATTACTAAACATGGCGCGGCACATATACAGTCTTTTGTTTCTTGATTTAACAAGCCGCTTTTGAAACTTATCGCTTGTCACCGAGCGATAATTTTAAGAGAGATATTGCTGTAATTCAGGTGTGAAGTGTTTGCATTCTAACACATGTTATTTGTACAGAGTAAGCGACATTTGTCGCTTCTTACTTCGGTGTGAATCTTACCTTAAAGCACAGTGATTACATATCGCAATATTAAGTAACACTACATTCTGTTACCACCATATCTACTGGTTCCGACGGTTTCATGCGACTCTTAGATTAAACAATGATAGTTTCCCTAAACGACATTAACAAATTCATCTCTGTAATGGAGGGACAATGTGTTTTATTTAGTTAAAGCATTTTAACTGGTTAGATTGTCTAATGCTTCAAAGGGGCAAAGATAATTCGAGGTCACAACATAATTAAATTATGAAAATCTAAATATTGTCTGGTTTATTTGCGGTCTGAGTGCACTCTACCGTAGCCGAGATGTCATTGACAATCGGTTACACGACAAACTATCTGGTACAATAAGGGCCTAAATCCATTTTGAACGTAAAAGTGTATATTCCCTCTAAATGGAGAACAGCAAATCAGAGATCAACACCCATTGGAGTTCCAATAACAAATCACGAATTACATAGCTGTTCGCCTGAGAAAGTCTTTGGTCGTCTCAAAACACTGTATCATTATTAGGTGAAGCTTCTTCTGTCTAGTAAAAATACGTCGTGAGTCACAGTCCGTATGCACCTGTACGAAGAAAATACATTTCTCAAAGTACCTATGATACAAGAGGGCATAACTGGTTCAGCAATTTGGTGGCCAAGGTCACGTGTGCCACTTACTGTTTGCATGTGCACAAGGACTTTTGAATCATCCACCCTTATCACATAAATAATGTCAAATGTTACAGTTACATTTGTTGATGAAGTTACTTCTGTACAAACGACTAAAGATGGTGCTTATCTATTAGAACAGCTCGTAGGCCAGGAACTTCATGGATTATCCATGAGGAATACATTCTTTCGTTTGCTATGTAACTCATAACAGTAATTTTTGTCAAGTTTCACGAATTAAGAAACAGATGGTTTGATCATGAGTGTTGAAAACAATTATCTGTCCATTTATAGAGTGCAGAAGGCAGACATAATTATAATAACAGAGAACGTATCGGTAAAATAATACTTACTTAGGATACCTCGGCGACCCGTTCTTCAATGCCTTGAGCATCTGCGGGTCCCAACTTTTCGTTGGCTTTGATCTATTAGACAGTTGGTAGGACTTTCGCAAGGCCTCTAAATGTACACAGGAAAGCACAACACAGAAAGACGCGAACAAACATCCATGCCTTGAGTGGGATTCGAACCCACGGTCCTAGTGACAACGTGGCCACCGGAAAAATAATACAATAACCTATTCATTACTATGCATGTAAAAGTCAAATGAATTATAAAACCTAGGTAATAATAGCATTAGTCTATTAATAGTGGAGGACACATATTCCAGATTCTTGCTTTGTGAATTTGTCTACCCGACTGACTTCTTTTGGTGTTCGTCAACTGTTGAATCAATTAATGGAAACTGATAGTGATCAAAAAAAATTCGAAGTTTCGTTACCGTATTCGGAATTATACCACTACACCGTGCTATAAGCCAGTTGAATCTTATCCACTTCATCAA